TAAGGGTAGCCTGCCTCCTCTTCCTCCTGGAGCGAAGCCCTCTGGTGCTAGTGACTCTGGTAGTCGAGGTGGGACCCCCACATCGTCCTCATACGATGGTCACTCCGGATCTTCAGACACGGCAACCATCACGCCAGGAGCTGGGGTTGACGCGCAGACCATGACCGCCTTGGACGCTGATCTCAAAGCCGCTCTGGAGTGGATCAACCACCCAGCTGTTTTCTCCCGCGACTCGCGTAAGGCTGTTCTGCAGGGAATTGGCGTGATTTCCTCGCAGCGTGGTTACACTTTCCGCTCTCCTGCTGAAGCTCACTGGGCACAGCGCGTGGCTGGAGTCCGCCGCTTGACTGACCGCTCCAAAGAATGGCGGGAAACCGGCGACGACGCCCTGATGGAAGAATGATTTATCATTCCTCTTGTACACATTGCCCTTCCACCTATTTTCTGGGTTGGCTTATCTGTTTTGATTTTCGCTCTCTTGTTCCTGCCACTTATGATACCACTCTGTTCACCACGACTGTGCGACACGATACCACGGTTCTTTTCACTTCTCTTCTAATTCACTTGTATCTATACTGAGAAAGTTTCTGTACATACCGACAAGCTTTGTTTACTACTTAATCGGCGGGGGTGGTCATCTTGTCTTCTTGGGCTGCGTTATTGGGAATGATTTTCACGGCTTTTGGTGATACGGATGGTGTCATTGATGAGGATCTGGTGTTTAATTGTTGTACCTTTACATACACGTGTTCGATAATAGATTTGTACGAGTATTGATTCGTTGCTGAGTTTTGATTTTCTCAAGAAGTACCCTTAAAGCGCTGTGCCTTGTATAAGAATTGGCAGCCGAGGGAGAATATGCTAGCCTTAGGCTAACATGTTGATAATGTTTAGAGCACATACCCAAGCACAAGAGCCATACTCTTTTTTCTCGCAAGTACCCAGCATAGAGTAGCCCAGCTGGCCATAGTGGACCATACACATCTCTACATATTCACAGTTTGGTGTAGCTGATAGATTGGCCACATGATCTGAACCAATTCACCAAGTCAATCTACAAATTAGGTCCCAAAGACCTCGAAGTCCACGATCTTCGTTATTAAGATAAGCTGAACAAGCCTACAAGCGACCATCCGTTGATTCAGACCAGGCCGCCATGCAGATGACCAGGCCGGCCAGGAGATAATCCTTTGAGACACCATACATACTATCTTATTTCCGCTTTGGGAAAGCAATTTTGGCTTCATGTATAGCCGGTTAGGAGGAACTATCGGCGTAGCTGACATTCCCGCTACGTGACTCGAAACAATTTACTCGGCAGAATATACATGTCGAGAAGTCAGCAAACAAAAACAATAAGAACGACAATTACTACAACGATCAACAACTATTGAGATTTGATGAATCGTTCTCTATTGCCTACATCTGAACGAACCATTGTCTCCGTCTCCGGCGTCCTTGAAGATATCAAAATCCCCTATCCAATCCCGCCCCGCCCTCCTGCACCAATCTCCGTACATCGCCAATTCCATTGGTGTGATCGAACCATCCCTTCAAGCAACGGAAGATCTTCCGGTTGAACACAGTACACCGCATTTCCGCGAATCATCCACCAAAGATCACCGGTAGAGCCCCGAAGAATCCGCTGCGACGTGCACCCAACAAGAGAGGGCGAGTCCACGCCACTCGGACCATTTTTCTACAACGAGCCCCCAAAGTGCAGTAGCATCGACTACAGAATCAATCCCAGAAGGCCCTTCTCTATCCAGCGACGATACGTTTACTTATACGACGTGACATCAGTAGTAGTAGTAGTCGTCCAGACCCAACTTGCACGGCCATCTGCACGGCCCCAGATAAGATAAGTACGGTGAACCCTAGACAATGTCTTTCAGAGCTGGTTCAGAAAAGCAGATATTGCAAGCCGAGTCACTACTGGAGCATTAGCTTTGCTATATTCGCCCGGGCCTCCGCGTATTTTTGATTTGAAAGATCTTCTGAAACCAGCTCGGGAGGGAAAAATAGCGTTTATAGCGCCACGCTCAATGGGATCAGACAGCCTGCCTGATCTACATATGGTGGTCTGGTTACGGACGCGAATGCAGGTGTCATGCTCGATGTGGCTGTTACAATTGTCAATTTGCAAGAAGAGATACCCTGCCTAGTCTGGTCTAATCTGCGCTCGACAACGGATATGAGATTACTTCGATGGGTGTAATAGCAACAGCAATAATACCCACTCCTGAACACAGTGATTGGATTTATGTTTGGCTCACGCCCATAGCAGTTCGGACCGTCAAGAAGAGTTTCTAAGATGGAATCCAGATGGTATGGCGTATCAAGGACTAGGCTCGCATTGCGCTTTTTAAGGATGGATAATAGGTTTGATTCGCTATGCTTGTATGGTTCCATCTAGGGTTGTTGTCTATAGGATATGTCTGAATGATAGGGTACAAATATAATTATGCTAGGCTTTTGCATACACTATGCATGAAAGGCGATACCGGTCTCGGCACTGGCATCCTCTAACTCACCAGCCGCGACGAACTCGAAACCCAGGGCGCGCCAGTTCAACTCCTTGCGCCAATGTAGGCCGTAGTACTCCCGATTCTTCGTCGGATTCTCATCCGTTTGCCCCTCAGCCGTCTCCACTGGATCCTCCGACCCAGCCTCAACGGGCACCGGCTTGACCACGGGCTCCGAGGCCAGTCCGCCGGACACCATCCGGGCCCGGCGCGGGAAGATCACCGCACGGAACCGCGAGAGAAGCAACCCCATACAGCAACAGATGCACGGCTCATGCGACAGGTACACATCCAGGTCGTTGCAGAGATAACCTCCCTGCTCGCGGGAGCGGATCCGCGGCCCCACACCTCCTTCACCTCCACCTCCACCCCCACCCCCACCTGCATCTGCCTTCTGTTCCTCCGCCTCCTTGTGGTGGTGGAGGTGGATCGCATGTGCCTCAGTCTCGGTAGTCTTCTGATACTTCTCCGGCGGCGGCTCAACCGCATCCTCCCCCTCTTCATCTGCTCCTCCCGTCCTCGTCCCCGTCTCCGCGGAGGGGGACGGAACATACGACTTCTGGAGAAAGTACTCCTCTAGCCCGTACAACACGGGGCGAATCTTCTGCCGTCGAGAACCCGGCTTGTCCTCCCGCCGCTTGCTCGAGATCAACTCCACCGCCCGCATCAGCGCATGCAGCTCCGGACCCCCCTCCCAGTCGGCATTGTACGTCCCGCAATGCGGACTCGGCCCGCTGCCACCCGCGATCTCCGCCTGTGCGGGGTTGCCCCCTTCCCGCCGGGAGTACCGGCCGTCCCCGGCGACGGCCACGATCGCGTCGGTCCAGCTGCTTCCTTCGGCGCCTTCTGTCGCATCTTCAGGGACGGGTTCCAGTTCCGGGTCCACGACCACGGCGCCCACCCCGCGGCCGAGACCGCTTCGCTCCGCCTCGGCGGCGACGGCCTGCGCTAGAGCCAGGTAGCGACCGGCTTTCGGGGCGATGGCGTCGCGGACCCGGGAGAGGATCTGGGGTGGTGGGGCGATCAGCGCGCGCGGCGCGGCGGGGTTGAAGACTACGGGCCACATCTTTGAGGACCAGTGCTCGGCTTGTGTGGGGGTCAAGGGGGGTTGCATTGGGACGGTTATCGTGTGGAGGGTGATGTTGCTGGTCGCAGGGGTGGTGGTGGCGGAGGGTGTGGTGGTTTCGGCGGCTGCGGGTGGTGGTGCTGGGGTGGACGGCAAAGAGGGATCGGCGGTCGGGCTTTGGGGGAGGGGGTTTTCTCGGGGCGGCGGTACGAAGGGGGCCAGAAGGGTCTGTAGAGCCTCTGGAGCTGGGAGTGGAGACGGAACGAGGACGAAGATGGTTTGCGAGGGGAGGTAGCCTTCCTTGAGAAGGGTGGGGCGGAGTGACTCGGGGATCTGGTTGTGCTTGGCGAAGCGGCGGAGGTGATTTAGGGGGTGGGAGGAGTCGCGGGGGAAGGCGGAGTCGAGGGCTCTATTTGCGATGGTCAGTGATTGTTCTTGTTATTGTTGCAGAGAGAAAGGAAGCTAGCAGGGGTGAGGAGGGGGAAACTGACTTGATGACTTTCGACGCGGTCTTGACGTTGACTTCAGCGACATACGCGTCCGCTGGCCGAAATCGTGAGCTGATTGAGCGAAATCCGATTCACCTGCAGACGTACCGTATTCTTCGACCGGGCGAGTCTCCTGTACGGAGCGAATGGGAATCACTTCGCCCACGAGGGGTTGAACCTCGCGCAGGATGTTCTCCGCATCCATTGTGAGAGTAATCAGAATGATACAGATTTGTCGTGAGAGACTGCAATTTTAGCAAAGAGATGTCGAGCAAATCGGAAGTGAGGAATCGATTCTATATGTATAAAGACGACTCATGCCTTGCGCTTGGGTGAGCAACCAGGTATAGCCACTGCAGACTGAGCCTCTACCTGATAGTACCATGGAGGTCTGAACCGCAAAGATGGTTTTCCATGGATGGAAGCTTCCGCAACCCTGAGCCCTGTACCCTAAGCCCTACGTTTGACCAGTACAGTTTAGTGCAGACTTGAAGAATCGTAGACGTCATGCAGCGCCAACCACTTTAAGTATGGCTCTATTCGAAATACGTATCCGGAGTTCGATTGACTACATAAGACACGCATGTAGCGAGTGTGAGAATTCGGACTCAAATCCGGAAATGCGGGCTGTACAAGAGTTATAATTCAGACGAACAAGAGAAGGCAAAGCGCAGGAAAAACACTTGAAAGGAAAGGAAAACAAGCCGTATGGATATAAATCACTTGATCGCCGTCGTATCCATGCACAAAAACAATATCAACTCCAAGCCCCATGTATGTGTATGTATGTACTAGTACAGACACTGATGAAACGTCCGCGGTTACGCCCCTGTGCGGGCTGCTCTCCGAGACTCAAATTCAAGGACAAGCCATATAAGAGGAAAGTGGTTGAAAGATAAAAATACCCAGAACATGCACGATTCAACTATCCCGTTGAATTGCATACCCATCGCAGCGCTCTACCAGGCTCTGGTAATAATCCACGAGGACTTCCGGCTCGGGAACAATGCGCCATTCGACGCGGAAGAGAAATTCCAGCTCTAGCAGTGCCAACTCGGTCATGCTGATGCCTCCAACCCGTGCGTAGGTCTTGTTCGTCCAGAAACTGTCGCTCAAACCCTTGCTGGCCACTGTAGCGCTGGTAATCAAGAACCGATGGATTGTCAGACTGGAAACCGTGAAGGCGGGATACATGGCACAGAGCCGATCGATATAGTATACCATGCTGAGCAGGATCGGGGGCGAGAGCGTGGCGTGGGTCGTGAGCCGTTGCAAGTAGTCATGAACGGAGATGCGGGGTGGCGTGCGAGAGTGAAAGCGGGTCAGCCGGCCTTGATGAAGGGGGATCTTATCGTTGAATCGGATCAGTTCCATCAGCATGCTGGAGATCAACACCACTAGATCCCGAGCATCAGCCAGCTCGTACTGGGCCGGCAGCAGCTTCACAACGGGCTTTTCCGGGCGTAACCGTTTGCTCTGAGAGCCTTCCAGGTCTGCATGGCCCATCGCACCGGGCCGCATCCCGTCGTTGGTCGGGCCGTTGGGGCTGTTGCGCTTAGTGGACCCTGAACCAACGCTGCTGGGAGCCGGCATGGGAGGCGTAGCGGTTGAATAGGAGACAGGGGCAGGGGCAGGGGCAGGGGCAGGGGCGGAAGAAGCGGCAGCGGTGGCGGCGGCGGCGGCGGCTGCAGGAACAGACGTTTGCGAAGGAGCAGTAGGGTGAGGGTGACGGTGACTGTGCTGGTGGGAGGCGGGAATGGCGGCGTCAGACGTGATGCTACTTCCGCCCCCAGAGGAGGTCAGCCCGGCGGACATCCGACCGCGAGGCAGATCCCCTGAGGGCCCCGAAGGGAAATGACCAACGGTGTGCCGCTTTAGAGCTGATCGCAGCTCTTCAATGGCGGCGCGGGAAGAATGGAGATCGAAACGATGTCTGGACGAGGCAGCAGGAACGGGCCCGGAGGGCTCATACTGGTCATGTGAAGGAATGGAGGTTGTCGTGGTCGAAGGGCGACGAGAAGGCGGACGGGGAGAGGAGGAGACTGCCGAGGAGGAGGATAAAGGGATGGAAGGTTGGGAATGCGAAGAATGAGGAGCAGATGGAGGAGGATGAGGAGGAGGATGGTGTGTATGAGGAGAGGCGGGAGATGGGCGCAAGGCGGCGGAAGGTGAAGGCGATGAAACTAGCATCTCCGCCCAACGAGACCACCACGTGGGCGCACGACTAGACGACGTGCAACGAAGCTGGCAGACGCTGCGAAACCTTGTGCTGCGGCGAGAGGCAAGGGCGGCGTGCACAGACACATTGTGATCTGTGGGGAAGGGATAGGGGAAGGAGAACTTCGACTCTTTTGGGGCGCAAAAGAGGAAGAAGCCGTACACAACAAATATATTGTACTAAGTAAGACAAGGGTAGAAGAAAAAGTGGAGGTGAGAAGAAGAGGAGAAAAGGAGGAGGAAGAGGAGAAACGAAAAATAAAACAATGACGCTGATCAGGGAACTCGAACAAAGAGGGGGGGAGGGGGGAACTACTCCGTAGTCCGTACAATACGTACTAGTACCGTACCTAGTGCCAAGTTCCATTCGAGTTTTTTTTTTTTTTTTTTTTTTTCTTTTTTGACTCGTCCTGCGATTTTATCACGACATCTTACGGGTAATTACCAATACTACACTGCTTCCATGTGGAGAGAAATTCCTATCTCCCTCAAGTCTTTTGCTTGTCAAGGGGGTCCAAGCCACCAATTAGAATCAATTAGTGTCCAGGTGAATACCAGTCATACGGGTTTATCGGCACCACCGTCCGTAGCGTATAACACAGAAGCCACCATCGATACAATCGCCCCGTACGGAGCGCGCAGTGCGGCTAATGGATTGATTAGGTTTGAATTCATTGGAGATAGTTAAGGATCTCGGGGTTGGCGTAAGCAAGGAACCTGACTTTTTGCCTATTGGCAGGGGTCTATGGATGTATCCTTCTTCATGATGGTGTCCATTGATGAGATAGGGATTGAGATAGGGATTCGTCCCGGTTAACTAGGAAAAGACACTCTTTGCCATGGTCTCACCTTTATAGTCCGAGTCAGCTGTCAACTGGTAATCATGCGCTTCGAATCTTTCCTTTTATCCATACGAGCGAGCGGTCTGGATTCACACACACACTTTAACTCCGAGATGGTCTCCAACCCCAACCCCCCAGGGTTCAACTTTTGGGGTTACACATTTCTTGCTCCCTCTTTCGGGTTGACCGATCTGGACCTCGTGGGAACACCGAGCTCAAACTCAATTCGTGGTTGAGCAATGGCTGTATACCATTGGCTCCGTTGCTACACAAGCCTCAGTCTCTGGTAACATGATATTGCAACACCAGAATTGCGAGAGAGAGGCATGGGTCTCCTCGACGCCGATAATCGACGGTAGGGCTGAATCACATGACTGTAATGTACATAAGGAGCTCACATTTGTATTACCAGACTGAGTCAGCTATGTCGAGTACAGCCCAGTCGGGTGCCAATCAGGTGATATCACCTGATAAGGCGCCGAAAGCGGTCAGCGGCCGGCAACGGACAGCGAGCTATCGACAGCTGCATCAACCACTCAATCATTTGGAGCTGGTCGTTGTGAGATCGACTTCTGGTTGCTTGTGATTCCCGTTTTCCATCTGTCTTCGAAAAACTTGTTCATCGGACCTTGCTTTGCTTGGTTGGTGGTGCTTCACGAGTCGCACTTCTGGACCCCTCCCCAGTCCCCCCAGTCGCCGAGGGTCTTCGCCGCCGTGACATTGACCAGTTATCATTTCGTCCTCCATCCATTCCATTGCCATTCAACCATCGTTGCCAACTAGCTGATCGTCAAAGCTACTTTCTCGTTGCTAGGGGAAGCCTACATCAAAATAAATTGAAAACTGTCTGGTTAAATTTTATACCTGTGTCTCTCCCCCCATTGTTTCTCGGCGCAATCAGCGCTCCTCCTGTTCCTCGACGTAATCGATCCCACGGCCCTCCCGCTGGAGGCGGCGACTTCGGACCATGACCCGCGCTTCAGCGCCTCCGCTGCTGCTTCAACTCCAGACAGCGGACTCCCTACCAGCACAGGCGGCGGCTTTGCGAAGCTTAAAGAATGACACGATAGGCCATAACCAGCGGAAAGAGGCCTGGGTGCGGTGGGGGATCATCCCCGTACTAGCCAATATTCTCGCAGCCCGCCATGGCAAGGGTATTGTTAGACCAGAAGTCAACGGAGCCGCGAAGCTTCGTTGTCCTCAGTCCGAGGAAGATGAGACATGCTTACAAGCGATCGTCATCATGGGGAGCTTAGCACAAGGTACTCGTGTTCTGAGAGTGTTGCATGCAGTGACTGATTTGGTTTTGACACAGGCGGTGCCTCTTTTCTGTCCCCTATCCTTGCCAGCGGCATACTCTCGACCCTCCTATCCATAGTGTCCAAACCTGACTGCCCGACGTTCTATATTCTTCCGATACTTCGAACATTGAATAACGTTGCCGACCGATTACCGCTACAAAGCCAACAACGATCTTTTAAAGATACTCGTTTGGCCGATCTCGTCTTCTCCAGCGAGTATATCGGCTGCTTCGCTCGCATCTTGGGTCGCAACTACGGCAACCACCACGATCAAGCAGCAATTGAGCTCGCCGCATCCCTCATCGGGAAGTTGTGTACGGAGGAATCCCACAAGGCGGTCTTGGCTGAGTGCGGAGTACTGGATGCCTTGGCGGTGAAAGTTGCCTCGTTCGTGGTCGCGCAGGGATTTGTCTATCCTGGTGCCGAGGAGCATGTTCAAGAGCCTGGAGCTCTGGGATCCCTACCGCCCCCGGCACCCCCGGGCGCAAAACTGGCGCCTATCCTCCGCGCTGTTACCGTCATTGTGGAGCATTCTAAGTGGCGCGCGGAGCATTTTCTCTCTTCGCCGGGGATCGTGACTGTGTTCCCCAAGCAATTGGCCGAATTTGCTCCGTGGGACATCAAGCGAGGACCATGGGGTGCGACCTACCTGTCGGGCTCAGCTGTACCCCGACATGCAGGTGCCAGCCCGTTGGAGTACCTACTGCCATCGGTGCCGCTGGCGCAGAACAAGGCCTCTCCCAGCACCTCCAATTTTCCTCCCCTTGGCCACCAGGGTACCACACATCGCCGACAAAGCCACTCGTTTCCGACGCCGCTCCCTAACTTCGAAATGCCTTCTGCCGAGGACGAAGAGAATGCGGTTGTGCCATGGCTTTTGTACATTGTCCGTAGCGAGAGCGGGATGGTGCGGTTGATGGCGGCACGTCTTGCCACAGTTCTGTTCCGTCTTGGCCTTACAAAGAAGCATCGCGTATCTATGCTATGTTACTTGATGATTCCTATTTTGATTCGCATGCTGGATAAGGATTATGAAGTGACCGCAGATGACGGGGTGCAATATGGGGGCTTGATTCCTTCATCCGAGCGTCTCAGAGAAGAAGCCCCGTTCGTGCTGGCGTTATTAGTGATTGATGATCACGAACTGCAGAGACATGCTTATGAGGGAGGCGCTATCAAGAGGTTGTCGCAGCTGTTGAAAGAAACCTACAACCCAGTCCAAGACACCGTCCGGCCCATGTGGCATGCGGACGGTGAAGAAGGCCTACTGGGCCCGGACACCACCTCCCCAGAATGCCAGCTCGGTCCTCCGGGCTTTTCACCGATCCACTGCCATGTCATGCGATATCGTGAGAACATCCTCAAAGCCTTGGCGGCTCTGGTTCCCTTCAAGGACGAATATCGCAAAGCCGTCTGTGAGAACGGGGTGGTGCCATACATTATCGACTCTCTCAAGCCGTGCTCAGATGAATTGTCGGGGGACACGTCGACTCCAAAGAACACTGTGGCCGATGGCAACCCCACACCCACCCTGCTGGCAGCCTGCGGGGCCGCCCGCATGCTCACTCGTTCGGTGAGTGTCCTCCGCACGAGTCTGATTGATGCGGGCGTCGCGACGCCCTTGTTTGTCTTGATTAAACACCCCAACATTGAGGTCCAGATTGCAGCGACGCAGGTCATTTGTAACCTGGCTTTGGACTTCAGTCCAATGAAAGAGGTCAGTCAATTGGTCATTCGTTTTTTTCTTGTGCACTAACCCTTATCGGCGCATAGGCAATCATCTCGGCCGATGTTCTTCCCATTCTGTGTGAACATGCTCATTCCCAAAGCACAAAGTTGCGGATAGAATCGCTGTGGGCCCTGAAGCATGTTGCATATAACTCGACCAATGATGTAAAGATAAAGATCATAGAAGGACTAGGTGCGGAATGGATCAAACAGGTCATCACCCAGGATCCTACCACTGCCTTAGCCAAGCGCGGAATGGACGAGGAGGCGGACAGCAGCACCAGCGCGGGCATGAGCCGAGCCAACTCGGCTGGAGAGCAGGTAGACCTGTTGAACCCGGTGGAGAGCGGTGGGGACGAGGATATGAAAATGGCCGATACGGTGCCCTCGCACAAAATCAGTCTCGATATGTTCCTTCCGGATGCCACCCGGCGACGCAAGTTGACTTTGCAAGGCGATTTGGACCAGACGACGCGGGCTCGACAGGACGATATTGCGGTCCAGGAACAAACATTTGACCTACTGCGCAACATCATCTGCGGGCCCGGTGCATTTGAGATGATCGACCATTTGTTCAAGGAGATCGGGCAGGATCTGCTTCTGGATGCGCTGGCAGACAAGCTGCGACCGCGTTCTATCTCCCTCCCGCCTCGACGAGATGTACCGACCTCGCGGACGATATCCGTACCGACGGAGATATTGGTGTCGGTGACGTACGTGATCATCCATCTGGCGGCAGGCCTACCGCGACACCGACAACTGCTTCAGATGCACCGGGATCTGTTGAAGTATCTGATGACATACTTCAACCACAGCCAACGCGATGTACGAATCAACTGTGTGTGGGTGGTGATCAACCTTGTGTATCAGGATGATTCGAGCGACCGGGACGGATGTCGCGATCGAGCGATCCGGATGCGGACGATGGGAGTGATGGATCGGTTGGCCAGTCTGGACGATGATCCCGACTTGGATGTGCGCGAGAGAACCAAAACGGCCCAGGATATGCTGAATTCCTTGACCCATGCATAGCGATGATTCTGTTGGACAGTGGGGTGCTGCGGTTGCGGTAGGCGGCGTTGGATGGGACCTTGATGTATAA